GATTCTGGAGTTAAGGAAAACTTCATGGAACTTCCAGGGCTGCAAGGGCCTAGCCCAGTGATGGCGAACTTATGACGTGTGTCAGAGGTGACACACGAACTCATTTTTTTCGTTGAATTTTCTTTGTTAAATGGCATTTAAATATATAAAATAAATATCAAAAATATAAGTCTTTGTTTTATTATGGTTGCAAATATCAAAAAATTTCTATATATGTGACACCCCGAGCTCAAAAGGTTTGCCATCACTGCTCTAGGTGCTAGTGGTACAAAGGTAGGTAAGTCATCCCTGCCCTCTTAGCGTCTACAGACTGGCTGAGGGCAAAGCCATGCAAAGAATCAAACAAGTAAAACTGAGCCTTCCTGGGCTGTACTGGGGCAGAGAAGGCAGGGGGAATGGCCAGTTCTGGAGGAAGAGGTCAGACTCAGAAGTGAGTGTTGAGCTAAGTCTGAGGTTGAGTCTTTATTGTTGAGAAAGAGAAACCATTACAGGGTTTTGGTTTTGGGTTTGGCAGGGGAGGGTATGGCCTAACGTGCATGTTGGGAAGAAAGGGAGAGCAGGGAGACTAGAGCCAGGAGACTGTGACCAGCCAGGCTGTGATCAGGCCTGGACTTGATGTGGGGGCGGTGAGAACAGGGAGGAGGTGATAGAGGAACAATCAGAGCTTGGTAACTACCTCAATATGAAACCAGAGGCTGAAGGAAAAGTGAGAGATGTCAAGGCTAAAGGCATACTAGACTTGCTTGTGAATTTGTCAGTTGGCAAAACTTGCAATGAAAAGATGTTACCATTTTCCTAAATGTCAAATTCAACCACAGAGAGTATTAAAAAAAAGTCTGTGCTTCAGATCAAAGTTGATACTGGGAGTGCAAATATCAAAGTATGCATTTTAAAAGAGACTACAGGCAAAAAAAAAATTATTTTCCTGATTCCAGATCATTAAGCTCAATGACCACCTTAGCCCACCTGAGTCAATCTTTCTATTAATCTTCAGCGCCTGTCAAGAACAATCCCATTTAATACGGTCAGAGGCTGATAGCTCAATAGTTAACAGAAATAAAACTCTTACTCCAAGATGAGTCAAAGGAACAGCCGCTAGAAAAAAATCTGCAGGTTTTTTACTCTGATATTAACTCAGAAAATCATTATCATCTCAATAGCTGGATTGATTAGCTTTTACTCTGAGGTAGCAATATTCTATTATCACTATATCACTTAAATAAAAGTACATATTCTATATTTATACTTATGCAAATCTATCCATACCTATACCTCTGATTCTATCTTGTGCATATTCAGCAATGCCCATATCAGAGAAGTCATTTGAAAATGAATGGAAAGGAAATTCACCGAGGAACAGAGGCCCCCTGGTAACAAAAGATGAATAGACAGGGCTGGCATTGCGCGATGGGGCTGGCAGGAAGACAGCTTTAGGATGGTAACATGGATCCCTCAAATCTGCTGAATATTGCACATTCTGCTTTTCTGCATCTTTATACGCATGGAAACCACATATCACACCCTACTCTCAACTCATACACATACATGTGCATGTGCACACAGGTAGGCACACAAACACACACACACAAGCCAGACTTCAGTAACTGACTGGGCTACCCATTACTTGGAAACTATGGTTGTTTAAAACTTTAAGGGTCTCCATGTTTTGGAAACAGCAACAAACACAGAGCCGAGCAACTAGTGAGCTTTATGGCTTACCCATGGTCGGCAAACCACGGCTCATGAGCCACATGCAGCTCTTTGGCCCCTTGAGTGTTGGTCTTCCACAAAATACCACTTGCGGGCACGCATGTACAGTGTGATTGAAACTTCGTGGCTCATGCGCAGAAGTCAGTATTTTGTGGAAGAGCCAGTATTTTGTGGAAGAGCCACACTCAAGGGGCCAAAGAGCCGCATGTAGCTTGCGAGCCGCGGTTTGCCGAGCCACAGTTTGCTGACCACTGGAGAGTTAGCCTTTGGATCTGTCTCAGCACAACGGAGGGTAAAAAGTCCCCTCATCCCCCCACCCCTGCTCCATCCACTTACATAGGATTAATTTTGTATCATACACTGTTCTAAACACTTTGCAAATGCTGATGCATATAATATTCATAACAATCCTATGATTTAGAGTCTATTATTATTTCCCTCTTACAGATAAGAAGTCTGAGTTATACGGAGATGAAGTAATTCAATCAAGACCCTACAGATAGTAAATGGTAGAGCTCAGATCTGACTCCCAACAGGGTAGGTTTCAAACTGTGCTCTTAACCACTACAGTCTGCTGCCTTCTAGTAGGGAGTTTACATTCTTAAAAATTGTCTTTAGACATGAATCTGCTCCAGTCCCACACAGCACGTTAAGTGCTCCACAGTTTCTTCCCTTTCTCCAAAACTTCTTCAGAAACATCCTACTCTTCCTCCTGCGCCCCAGCTGTCTTTCCCACCTCTATCTCGCTGTTAGGAAGCTTGAAAAAGGTACAAACTAGAGAGAGGGTTTCCATCACACACTTTTCTTAATCTTCAGGGCCTCACTTCTCTCTTTGAGCTTCTTTCTGAAATTTTAAAAACTTGATAATAGACTCCTGATCATCTGGCAAGAGCTATTTTAGAAATGAAAGAGAAAATCCTCAAACTTTTGACATAAAGTTGATGAAAATTGTTAATTATTTCATTCCTATTGATACCTCAGGGATCCACCAGTCCATTCCCAGCAAATCACCGGGGAAAGGGTCCAACAAAGGGGAGATGGACTCGTGTTCAGTGAAGTAGGGGTGGCATATGGAAGGTGCCTGTCAGTCTAACCTGGGAACAAAGATAATTGGCTGAAGAGAGTGGGGCCACTGCAATTCCATGAAAATTTGGAAATTCATAATCCCGCAGACAAATCCTCTCTTGTGGCTCTCTTGTTCCTCTGGCTTGGCTCCTGCTTCCTTGCATTTGCCTGCATTCCCTCCAGAGCCATGTGGCCCTCAAGGTCACGTGGCCCATGGCCATGCAGACCCCACA